GTCATTCAGTCGATTTCAACTCATAGCAACCCTACAAGACACAGAACTGCCCCATAGGGTTTCTAAGGAGCAGCTGATGGATTCGAACTGCCAACCTTTTTCAGTTTGCAGCCGAGCTCTTAACCCCTGCACCATCAGGGCTCCGCTGATATATTACTACCGTCTAATCCTCAGGCCCCATTCAAATTTTGCCAGTTGTCCCAAAAAAGTCCTTTACAGCAAAAGTCCAGATTCATGCCTTTTACTTGTCATGCTTCTTTAATCTCCTTAGCTGAAATACTTGAATCTTTCCTCAGCTTCCATGACCCTGACACTTTTGAAGATTACAGACCAATTTTGTTATAGAATATCCTAAATTAAACTTTGATGTTTCTACCTGATTAGATTCAGTTATACATCTTTGGCAGGAATATCACAGAAGTCATGGGTATTTTCATTACATCCTATAAGGGTGGGACAAAGTTGTGACTTGTACCATTACTGGCTATGTTAATCATTTCATTATGATGGCATCTACCAGGCTTCTACACTGTAAAATTACTCTTTCCCCCTCTGTCATTAATAAGTATTTCGTGGGGAGGTACTTTGTTACTATGCAAATATCCCTTTCCTCATTAAATTATTTGTTTATTGCAGCATGAACTCAAGGATTTCTATTTTATTCAATGTATTAATAATCATTACTATTTATTTTGATATTCAAATTGTCTATGATTTGGCCAGAGGGCACTCCTTCAAGCTGTGTTTATGTCCTTCTGAAAAATTCCCATCTTTCTTTGAATAATTCCTTCTTTCTAGCTACAAGATGTTCCAGTATCCTAGTCCTGAAACTGGCCATTTCGTCAGGACCCCCTGGTTAGTTTTAGTGGAGAGTGGTAATTAGAAACCAAGAACTGGGCACTAGGTGTATTCATTTTATTGGGGTGCTGTTGGTCCTAGACCGTCTCAGTAGACAAAGCTAAGGACCCTGTTGTTGTTCTTAGGCGCCACTGAGCCAGTTCTGACTCATAGCGACCCTACGTGCAACAGAATGAAATACTGTTCCGTCCTGTGCCTCACAACTGTTGTTATGCTTGAGCCCATTGTTGCAGCCATGTCCAAAGTACGTGAGACAGAGTCTCACCACCCTCACTTCCAAGGAGCGCTCTAGCTGTACTTCTTCCAAGACAGATTTGTTCGTTCTTCTGGTAGTCCACAGTATATTCAATATTCTTCA